ACCGTAGGCTCCCCTCGTTCCCGGGTTGCTTACACCAGACACCTTACTCCCGCACCCGGGCCGAGTTCACACTTCACAGGCCCTCTCTCCTGTGGTGTACAGAGAGAGATCCCCTAATTGGCGAGGCATTATTGTCACCCACTTGGCGTGATCCTCCAGAGCAAAAGCCACTAGACTTGAGCTTGATTGATACTCTTTGACAACAAACTACACAGAGAGCTCCGCCAATTTCTCGTGGTTCGCCGCGACAATTGGCCAGGACTTCTCTTGTAGTAAGTGCCCCACTACCGCTCCCTTGGAGAGCGAGGTTACAAACCTGGTCTGGACCCTCTGGTCCTGGACATAGTTTGTGGCCACGCACCAAGGGCGACTTTTCTGTGCCTAACTCTTGCCCTCTCTTTCTGACTTCCTGGTGCAGCCTGGGCCTGCGGGAAACGTCGATTTTCAACATTCGCCTGGGCTGCGGTGACGTGATCACCCCCCCCCCTTGTAGCAGAATTGGGGTGCAGAGCGTTTACCACACCAAAACTCCGAGTTCAGCCCACCCAGGGGGATCTCCTGTTCTGTGGTGCTGAAGGGTCGAGTGTAGGGATCAGAGCTTTTTTTGAGGCCCTTCTTAAGACCTCACCCTGAGAGTAGGTATAAGGATAATCCCCGAAAGGGGACCAATCTGTTTCCAACTCTCTAAATGACCACAAAATGAATCCGAACATGGTAGTCACCCTGGAGCCTTTCAAGGTTGCAGGGGGAAAGAAAACCAAAAGTAGGCCGAACGTGTCCGGCCTGCTGAACCGAGCAAGGACAAGACAGAAACACCAAACAAAGTCTGTCCATGCACACCAGACTGAGGGAAACCTGAACTCCCCTCAGAACTCCCTCAGTCAAGAAGGGGCTCCAGATAAACCAACCAAACCAGCTGCCCCCACTTCTAAAGGCCTTAAACCCCTGCAAAGGGGAGGCGTGAAGCGACGAAGGGTGGAAACTGGCTCTGAAGAAGAGGCAGAGCACACCCCAAGTCGACTAACGCGGTTTAAGGTACGAAAAAAACCTGGTCTTCGACAATGCATACCAGCTAGTAAGGGCATTGGAGAAGGAAAGAAACGTCAGACTCTCAATCCGAATCTCTAGAGATGAGGGCATGATCATTGCCCCCAAAGACAAAGCCACCATGAACTTCCTGCAGGAAATCAAGGTGCTAAAAGACGGGAGAAAGGTGTGTATCTCACCACTGACCTCCCAAGAGAAAAAGTCCAAGATGGTGCTACTTGGCTTCCCACTAGGGTTCGACGTGGAGGTGATCACGTCTCTCCCACAAGTGGTGGAGGCTACCCGCATGACCAAAGGGAAGTCTCCAACCAGACAAGTCCTGGTTATCCTCAAGGGAGCCCCAATCACCACCCTTGATCTGGGTAACTGGGGCTCATACAAGCTCAGGACATATGTGCCAGAGCCCTTGAGGTGTTTCACGTGCCAGAAATTTGGGCATCACCAGGCCAACTGCAAGGCCAAAGCCAAATGTGGTGTATGCAGCAAGGCACACGAAACCGAAGTGTGTAACAAGGCACACAAAGATGGCCAGGACACAACAGCCAAGTGTCCAAACTGTGCCAAAAAACATCATGCCTGGAGCCTGGCTTGCTCTGTCAGGAAACAGGCAGTGATTAAAAAGCAGGAGCTAGCCAAAAAGCGTCCTGACTTTGTCCCTGCGCCCCCAGGCACCTACGTCTGGGGCAAAAACAAAAACAAAAACCAAAAAGAAAAGACTCCCCGACCTCCTAAGAGGAAGGAGTCGGGGCGACTCCTTCCTCTTAGGAAAATTGGATACCTCTAACAGAGAGGAATTCCCCAAGCTTGCTAGTGGAAAGAAAAAAAAAAAGAACCAAAGGGAAAAAGGTTCAAAGTCCACAGCAATGGTCCCCCCAGTAGATGATAATCTTTTCTTTGACGAGAAAGATATGACTCTCCTGTTCAGTGCTGTAGTTTCTGCAGTAGCAACAGCCTTAGGGAGAACCAGTGAGGAGGCGGAGAAAGCAGTGCAGGTCGCAATGACGGCTATGACCCAAACTGTGGCAGCTCTGAAGGGAAGGAAGCTAGAAGCCTCCAAACCGATAACGAGCAGCGCTCCCCTCCCTAAATCCTTGGATGGCAGGCTAGCTTCAGGAGAAGCATTATGTGAAACCCCAGCTAGTCTGTCAGGACAGGCTGAAACTGTGCAGCAGAAGCCCCCACTGCAGGCCGAGTCTGTACACCCCTCGGTAGAGCCTTAACCAGAGTGTCTGACTTAGAGGAAGTTGTACAATCCTCAATCAATGAGGATCTGTATTTATCTGATGCCACCAGCACTGGGGCATCTGAAGCTGAAGCAAGTGACACTGAGTAACCATCATGGCACACAATCTAAGCATTCTGCAGTGGAATATCTGTAGCTATAAAAGCATGAATTCCTTTCTCCAGTCAGTTGTGCAAGGAGCATTGACGTCGTCATGCTCCAGGAGACACT